TGTTCATGTTCATGTACATGTACAAGTACATAATAATATAAAGATTAACTGGAGACTTTTTTACCAAAAAGGCAATTTTTTTCGTATCCACGGCAACTGTGCATGTGGTGATTTTTAAAAATGGAATGGGAAAATTTTGGCGAAAATCTGGTCAAAATGGGATGATCGACTAAAATTTTTTCCCCTTAAAGATAAAAATTACCAGAAAATCTTATCTTTGGGTTAAAAAGAAAATTAAAGAAATCATAAAAAAGTGATGGCCTTCCAAAGGCCAACACAACCAAAGTACCGAAAAGAAACCCAGTAAGAAACCATACAGTCCTGCTGCATGGTGAAAGGCCTGGGTTGTAATAGAGAGGAAGAATAGTATGTCGATAAGCCATTTTTTTTTATATTGCCAGCAAATAAATAAAAAAGGCTTGAGATTTTTAATTTTCGCATAGATGGGTTATATATGTGTATTATCCTCAAATTCTGATTGGTTAAGCTTATGAAAGTTGGCGTTGGCGTTATAATTACATAATTATTTACAAAACGCGTCAATGATTAATCAATAGTTATTGTAATTATCGAAAATATCACGCGTTTTTAGATAATCTGTTAAAAGTCAGACTAGTCTAGTCAGCCTGTCGTATTTTATCACCTGGCTACTAATTGGTATTTCGCCAGTTATAAACTGGCGGCACTATCATAATTGCACAATGTAAACTCTTTTTTACCATAACAAAATGTGTAGCTTTTTTTGCTTACTCTATTTTCTTATACAATGTATTATGTTTATACAAAATATAAATAATCTTTCGTAATTATAGTGTTCGTGTATATATTGTCAATTGACCGCGAAACGTTAAATTTTATCCCAATTTTTAATATAACGATAGTGCACAATCTTAGACGGATCAGTGATTTAATCCATTTACAATAACTACACTAGATTTCTGAAAAAAAATTTTCTTTCGTATCTTTTTTTTATTCATAAGAAAAAAAATAACCATTATTATTGCGATAATTGTTTTTGGGCCCAAAATCGAACATGAGTAATCACAGGACTGGTTTGTTTGTATTCCTCAATTAGATCTTTTTCTGCCATATTTTTGTATTCTTCTTCGGAAATTCCTATTTCTTTACTTAGGCTTTTAACTGCCAATTCTGATGCATAAAAAGATATACTAATATCTTGCATAACCAAACCAGCTTTACCACCATTGGGACCCATAATGAGATCTTTTTCAATTCGATGAACTTTCCCTATATTTGGTTGTAATTCAAATTTTGAATCTAGATTATATATCAATTTAAAATCAACATTTTGTTTCGAACGAGTTGCCCAAACTGGAATTGATTATGTTCATTTGTAGAAAGTGAGAATTTGGTATCTTATAATTACAATAAAACACGAGATCAGAATATACCTACATGCTTCTGATACTTTACGAAGAATCGGACCTTCGCCATTATTACTATTCCGTCTATCAGATACTTCAATGTATCCTCCTGGTTTCGTTACTCTGTTAAAAAAATATATACAGTATATATACAGTATATTAACAAAATTTGGTATATCTTTATGTGGATAATTTTTCTTTTTTTTTATAAAAAAATAAAGAAATACCTGATGAGCTCAGAAAGAACAAAATCCCATTGGTCTGGTGTTAAAACAAGACCCATATTTTCTAAATGTGTAAAATCAAATTCGTTATCATGAAATGATAATCCTTTAGTTACATTGGCGTCGATGAATTCAAGATTATTTGGTTTTATCTATCAAATTTATATAGGACAAAGGATCAAATTTTCGGTTTTATTTCATAATTAAAAATTTATAAGTTTTATTACCTCTTGTGGATATAATGGTATATTTTCGACTCCAAAAAAATAAGAATTTTCATATTTGTTTGATAAATCTAATAACCATGTACCAGTGCCGCTCCTTAAAAATTAAATAATTATTTAAGTAAATATATGCACCATAAAATTCTTCGAAATATTTGGGAAGTTCATTTGAAAAATATCATTTACCTGGCATCCAAAACTTTACACCCTCCTTTAATTAACTTATCCTCAATTGGGGAAGAAAAATTGTTTTGAAATATATATCTTTTAAGAAAATGATACATATGTAATCTATCAATAGAATCGAAATCATTCGATGATAAATAGCTCAATATCTTTTCATGTCTCTCTTGTTCCGATTCTATTTGGTCAAATTTCGGAATTTTTTTTATTGTTGATCGTTTATTTTTGAAATGTGATTTTAATTCTTAGACGGAACAATCGCATAAAACTTTATTAAATTGAATACTCTATTAAGGATAAAGGACGGTTTCATCTATTTATAGAATGATGATTTAATTGGTATTTATGTATTTTATGTAACTATTTATCAGAATGTTTAACAGGGTTTATTGTTCCACATAACGTGTGTTACAATATTTTATCTTTGCGAAAATATCCAAAAAAAAAAAGAAAAGGTTAATGCGGCTTATGAACAAAGAAATTCCTTGGTATGCCAATGAAATTTTTTGCGATATTTGACATTAAGAAATTTGTCTTCTTATTAATATTTAAAATTCAACAACAAAGGTCAAAGGTTATAAAAATATTGTCACGAACACATACGTACGCATAAATTTAATTAATTAATAAACTTTTTAGGATAAGATAAGATGTAATGAACATTCTATGCATATCATATACATATTGTTTTCTTTGTGACACACACCCTATGAAAAAATATTTATCCGAATGATATTCTACAAAGTCACGTGATTTTGTACGAAATTCGATCTACAATTATAATTGTGAATTTTTTGTCACTTGCAAATTTATTATGTATTTAAAGTATTTATACAAATTACCTTTATCGAAATTATTACTAACACACATCGATCATTCAATTTAACTACAAATACTATTTTATATAATAATTATGTATATAAGTTGATAATTTTTGGTTAAATTCTATATATTTTTATACAATTTTTTAAAAAATAGGTCAAATATCGTATATTTATGCAATTACTGGAAAAACCTACTATAATTTAAGACTCATCATTTAAATTACCTATTTAATTGTGATCTATTATTAAAACAATTAAATGAAATTATTATCAGTAAAATAATAAATAACTTTAAATAAATTATTTTACCTGATTCACTAAATTCTATAATCAAAACATTCTGAAACTATAAATTAAATAACAAAATAATGTTAAAATAAAATATAAATTTATAATTACAAAAAGTATTATTACTAATGATTATACTTACTTAGATTTGTTGATACTGATGGGACATCATCTATTATTAAAAAAAAGTTGATATTGTTAAAACTTGAATAAGATTTTTTCATAACTAATTAAAATGGAAAATTTACCTGAATTAACTTGAAATGATGGTACATCTGAAGAATTTACTGGGTTTGGAAGATTTTTGAAATTTAAAAGTCTACTAGTATAAATTGCTTGTGGATGTGTTTTGAAGTTTTTGGATTTATCTTCATTTGATCTATTTTTGAATTTTTCTTTTCTAATTTTATCACATTCTTTTATTTGAAAATATATTTCACTAATTTGACTATTGTCAGCATTTTCACTATCTTTAACATCTTCACTATCTTTAACATCTTCACTATCGTCACCATTTCTACTATCTTCACCATATTCACTATCTCCACTATATTCACTATCTTCATTATCTTCACTATCTTTACTATCTTTGCTATCTTCACCATCTTCACCATCTTCACCATCTTCACCATCTTCACCATCTTCACCATCTTCATCATCTTCACTATATTCACTATCTTCACTATCTTCACTACCTTCAATCTCTTCAATCTCATCATACCATTTCTTTAATAGTTGATACAATTCTTTAGTGGTTGGTCTATTTTTTATTTCAGCATCCCAACATTTTATTATTAAATCTGCAAGTAACTTTGGTATGTCTTTAGAAATTGTTGGTCTAAGTCCTTTACAAATTTTAATAGCTAAAAAATCATCATGAGGAATATCATTAAAAGGAATTTCTTCAGAAAGAATTTCGTTCATTATTATTCCAAATGATTAAATATCTGCTGCTTTTGTATATTGGTATCCACGTAAAACTTCTGGTGCCATATATGGTAATACTCCATAAATTCCTTCTTCTTTAACTTTTTGCTTATTTGCTGGTTGACACATTCCTAAATCACTTATATATGGATAAATATTAAATAAAATATTACCTGAATGAAAATCTTTGTGAACTTTTTCAGCATTATGAATATCTAAAAGTCCTCTTGCAATTCGTTGTAATTGATCAATTTTTGATTTATAATTAATATAATTATTTGATTTATTTAAATAATTTCTCAAATTTCCATTTTTACAATAAATTAAAACCATCATATACTCTTTATTATTTGGATCTTGAGTAATTCCATAACATTCAACAATATCATTAAGATAAATTTGAAGATGAGAGTTAATCTAATTATCATTAAAAAAGAAAAATTTTATTAATAAATGAATGCAAATAACAATCTTTATATATAAGACAAAGTAAGTTTAAATTACCTCATTTAAAAAATCTGAACATATATCAGAAGAATTATTCAAACTTTTTAATGCATATTTATCCGAATCTTTGTATCTATACCATTTTTGATTTTCAATATCCCAATGAGAAATAAATCCTTCAGGCCATTCTGCTGAATAAATCTTTCCAAAACCACCTTCTGCAATATAAGTGATATTTTGAAATTTTTCAAAAGGTATCCATTCAAGACATTTATAACAATGTACAGCATTAAGTTGTGATTGTTGTATAAATTCATCAATATCTTTATTTCCACTAGTCCAATTTTTAAAGTTATCCTTAAATCTTTTAGCATTACAAGGTTGACACCAATATTCTCCTGTACCAGGTTCTTTACATTCTCCACATATTCCATATGCTTGTTTTCTTTTTTCTAAATCTTCTATATAAACTACTCTTTCATCTACATTTTCTGATTTAATAGTTGAATCAATAGTAGAAATTGTAACATGCATCTTTTAATAGACAAAAACTTATTAATATTTTTAACTACAAAAATTCAATAAAATAATTATAATTATTAAAAATATTAAATTGCTATTACCTGATATTTATAATTAGTATTCCATAAATTTTTTGGCTTTTCATCCATATTAATTAATTTGAGTTGTGGATTATAATTTTAATTTTAGTTATATAAACAAATAACTACGTTACTCAAAATAAATTCCAGAATTATTATAAACAAAAGAAAAAAATTATTAATTGAACGAAAGTTCAATAAATTGCGTACTTTTGTATTACTTATTCGTATTACTGTTTGTACTACTATTGTATACAAAAATTACTATTTTGTGACAAAGAAAATTCGTAAGCAGCTGCTGATCATCATAAAAAAGAAAGAGAACTAATCTAACCCGAAATGGTTAAAATGATGGAAAATGATGGTTACATAAGAGATCTACATTTTGTAAAATACTTGAAATGCGAAGTATGCGAAGTAAAAATTATTTTTTATCTGAACTTAATTTTTTTTTGGTAATGTACATTTTTTTTCTGTATTTTAAAAAAATAAAATAGTGTCAATCTTACTAATCTTTGATGAGACGTAAAAATTAATAACGAATAAAGTGTAAAGATTATACTCAAATAGTGGCTCTTGTATTAACAAATCCATTTCTATAATTAAAAATATTAACAAATGTTTTTTTAAAAAAAAGACAATCTAACATTCTGAAATTATAAATCACATAATTTGTATTAATTGAATTAAACATTATCTGGAATATTTTTTTTTAGTTAAAAATTGCTTATGATGGACTCGTTAATTTACTATATTCATATATATTCCATACATTATCATAATTTGTAGTCTTCTTTTATATATGTCATTTGTTTACGGTTTTACCAACATATAAAAAAGATCGAATGTACGTCCAAGTCATCCGGAGATTGTAAGAGAATAAGAGTATTACCAATCAATTAATATTTTGTATGATAGATGTGACGGTTGCGAGATTTTTATACACAGCTTTATATTTTTAAGCAAGTAAATTATTTCCAATAAGTATATAGTTTGAATTTTATAAAGCTTTTATCTTATAAATAAAGTAGATTTATTAACATTTTTGTTTAAGGTGAAACTTCTATTTATTCTTTAGTTACTAACCATTAAATTTTCAACTTTCAAAGAAAAGGAAACTTTACTAAATATTAACATTATTTTCATTAATTCTACAACTCCATAATATTAGTATATATTGAACATCGATGTCATACTACTTTGTCATTCAAAACTGATAATAATTAGCTATTATAAAGTATGAACAATACTGTACTTCTTGACTTAATTCTATAAATCTATATAATAAATTAAAAATAAATTAAATTATATGTATTCGAAACTAATAATAATTAAGAGAAATATTCTAATGTTGAGCTGCAATATCAAAGTAAATATATAATAAAAATATTTGGATTTTCTATGTGTAATAATGGGTCGGACTGAAAGATGAGTCATTTACTAAAATTATACGTGCATCTTTTTGTATTTAATTTCCCTGTGCATTTTAAACTTTTTTTCTGAATTCTCTTGTTTATTAACGAAACTTCTTGGTTTTTCTGAATTAACAAAATAATCATGAATAAACGAGACCGAATCCTTTATTATCATCAAATCTAAATAGTAAAGAAAATATAATTAAATTATGGCAAATACTAGTCGCCGCAAGCCACAATATTCCTGGAGCAACTACGATAGCGCTGTAAAAAAAAAAATTGGTGATAAAAAAAGTGGCCAGAGATGGTACAGCTAGAAACTTATGAAGAGTCTATAATGGTGGTGGTATGGACGAGCTCATGGAGAATCTTGAAAAAAAAAATTTTTTTCTTGCTTAAAAGTTCAATCAGAAGACAAATTAAGGAGTTAAAAAACTAACATTTGAATCAAATAATTAGTATTTAAACTTGTTTTTCGACTTTATTTATTATTATTTTTAGAAAGAAGGGAATAGTAGGATGCACATTTATCATGAAACTTAATTAGGCGAAAAAATAATTTTTAATCAATATATTAAATTTTACGAATTTTTTGCTATAGTTCCTTATGTTGCGTGAACGTTATTATGGAGTTTTAATGATTTTGGGTTTCATTAAGATAAATAAAAGCACTATAAAGTAAAGAGTTAAAGAATATTATAGCATACTGTACTTTTATTTATTATGGAAATGTATTCTTTATTAAGAAGTTTTAATGATATTTTAAAATATTTTTATCAACTACTATTTATAATATTATTATTAAAATACATTCAATTACTAGATTAAATTAATGTACTATTACTCGAAAATACTCGTTCAATTATTTATTTTTTTATTGCGTATAAAAAAATCTTTTACTTCACAAGGTCTTACAATGGCTGCATGATCTTTTAGTTATTTAAAAAAAACAGTAATATAATGTAAAATATAACGTAATAATTGGAAAAGTGATCTTGTAATATATACAAATTATACAAATTACTTTTGGAGTTGATAGTTTAATAGACTAATTGTCATCTAATATTTATAAATGTATTTATTACACGTGAAAACTGATTTTAAATGAACGCGACAAAGGACCAAGTTGCCTAAGTACGTTAAGTTAGAATTTTTTATTAAATTCTCAGATCAAATTTATAATACTTATTTTACAAAAATGATTAAAAAAAAAAGTGATATTTTCCTTAATCGCACGTGATTTTTTCCCTTTAACCAATTTAATAAGTTTACTCTATTTTTTTATTATTAGTGTATACAATAAATTTTCAAACTTTATAAATCTAGCCTATTCATCTTACGTTCATATACATTTTATACAAAACAATAACATGGCAATTTCTCACATTACATTGTTTCTTTGGTATTAATTTTGTTACAATAGTATAATATTATAATTCCGGAATAATCTTGTTTTGACGATTCATCTTATTTATAACTTGTAGACTGCATCATATTATTATAAAATAATTTATTAGAAATTTCGAGAGTCGAATAATTTGACAAAATATATCCCTTTTTGAAATTCCATCGTAAAAAATATCTGCCACAAATTCATAAATGGTAAAGTATTCATGTTAATAAATATTGGTAAAGTAAATTCAATACATTCAAATTTGCAATACAATATAAGTTTACTACTAAAATATATTCAGATAATATTAAAGTTATCATGTGCTAAAGCTGTCCCCACTTATACAATACAATTAAGGTAGTCCTTATATAAATCAGCCGCGTTATTCTAATAATTATAAAGAACATGATAGACATCTAAATTGTAACGCATAAAATACGTGAAGCACGGAATGGCTAAGATAAAATTTATAGACATTTCATCTTATTACAAGAGGAGAATAATACCAAATCTTGAATCTTGATAAAATAATTAAATCAAATCAAAAAATACCAATAGTTTATAGTTTATAAAGATGAAAACTTACATATTTTAGGACCTAATGGTAATAAAATTTCAAGATATTATATAGGATTTCATAATAATGAAGTAGCGATAGAAAATTTAAGTTCAATATTAGGGATTTTCAAGAATATAAAGTTATGATAACAAATGAAGAACTTAAATATACTAGTCCAGAATATTTGTTATTAGATTTGGGCTAAAAAAATTAAATAATAAACTGATAATATTTATTATAATATTATAAATAGTAATGGTATTTTTTTATTAAACAAAAAAATTATTATCATTTTATACGTTATTATTATAATAGGGCATAACATATACAGATTGTTGTTCATTACAACTTTTATATATGAAAAAATTTATTTGTTAATTTGGTAGCTTAATTAAATATTTATTCGGCAATATACTATATAAATTTTTTAATAAGACGTATTGAAGAATACTGTTAATCATGTTAATATAATGATCATGTAAAAAAAATAGCATGGTAATGGACCGATGTTAAGTTATTGTGAAATACTAATTTTTACGTTACATTGAATCGGATATTTACGCATCTTATTTCCATTTCGACTTTTTCCCTCTCTTGATACGAATAATTTAACTTTATTTTTCTAAAATACGACAAAACAATTTGATCCGTTCATTTTCATAATTATTATAAAGAATTAAAAAGCCTTAAATATAGGAAGAATGCAAGATACACCATTTATCAGCGTTACTAGTGATGGGAATAGATGCCAAAATTCTAAAATACTTTGTAGTAATATCGTTAATTACCGTTCTTTTATTCTTCAGAACTATAATAAAGGAAAATCTTGTCGTTTTGAAAGTGAAATCTTTAACTTAATATGATAGTTACTTGAATAAATTAAAGAATATGATTATTTATGTAAAGTATTAAGTGAAGATACCATTGTATAACGACTATGTAACTGAATCGTCGCGAAACTTAAATTTTTATCTTTTTTTTGTAAGAAACGTTATCTAACGTTTCTCTTTTTTTAACAGGCGTAATCCCAATTTCATTTCGGATTCTTTAAAAAAGTACGTTATCGTTAATGTCATGACCCGACGTTAAATACTTTAATTAATAAATAATATTATGAGATTATTTATTGTTATTTCCATAGATTGAATGTTACTTGTTTCAACAGATGTAATATTTTCTCGAAAAAAGAATCTTTCAATATCTCAACTCTCAAGTCTCGAGAACCTTGATATCATATAAAATAACTAGTACGATATTATTATATAAATTTTTTTTAAAAGATAAATATTATATATATTATATATTATTCATCTAAGCTGAAAAATTGAATTAATTATTATAAAAATATTTTTATTTTGTGAAAGTGACGCTTATTACATATCTATAATAAAAAGTTTTTTTCGTTTCAATTAAAAATAATTTTTTTCATTTGTAAAATTAAATAGTAACGCTTAATGTTTTTAATATAATAATCATCAAACATTCTTATATTTAGAGACCGTGATTAGCGGGAGCTTTATATAATTCAATTCTCTATTTTCGTCAGTAAACTGGTTAATGATCAAATAAATTTAGCGCTGGAGAATTTTAGTAGATAAAATTCTTAAATTTATTATTTTTTTGCCCTTTAAGATCGTGAACATATATTCTATTAAACTTATTGTATTGGAAAGAAATAAAAGAAAATCATTATGATAAATGAACCAATATTTTTCTGGGGTGATACTGCGGATACGATTGCAGTTTCTGTTTCATGAAAGAAAATATACGATTTTTTTAACCCCACCCCAAAAAAATAATTCTGGATTAATTGAAGTCTTTGATAACTAGTTTTTAAAAAGAATAAAAAAAATTTTTTTATTTAAAAATTTATTCGGATAAAAAAAACTAATAATAAATATAAAAATAAATTACATTTAAAGAAAGATAGTAATAGCAAACTTAAAATTATTTGCTTGTTTGTAAGTTTTCTTAATGTGTTTAATAAGCCTGCTAACTTAAAGGATTTTCTATCGTAATTTTTTTTTTTATCATGATGTCATTCTGCAATCAAAGTTGAGCGTCTAACTATATAAGCTATAAATAATATATATAATAAACTTTTTTAATATATTTTTTTTTTTTTACCTATTCGATCTTACCCATAAAAATTTCCACCAAGACATAATACTAAAGTTTATTTATAAGTACTATCTTTAAATTTATTCTGACTATTCCCGAAAAAACCTACTATAACTAATTTAAGACTCATCATTCAAATTTTCTTCTTCTTGATTAATTTTATTGAGATCTATTATTGGAAATAATTAAATAAAATTAGACGAATTAGGCGAGAAAACTATTAATAAAATAATAAATCACTCCAAATAAATCATTTTACCTGATTCGCTAAATTGAACATCTAAAACATTCCGAAACTATAAATTAAACAATAAAATAACGTTAAATAAAATATAATTTATAATATAAAAAGTATTAATGATTTAATGATTATCTATTATTAAAAAAAAATTGGATACTGTTAAAACTTAAATAAGATTTTTTTCATAATTAAAATTGAAGATTTACCCGAATTAACTTGAAATGATGATAATTCTGACGAATTTACTGGTTCTGGAAGATTTTTGAAATTTAAAAGCCTACTTGTATAGATTGCTTGAGGATGAGTTTTAATACTTTCAGACTTATTTTCATTTGATCTGTTTTTAAAAAATTTTTTCTCTAATTTTTTTATATTCACTCATTTGGGAATAAATTTCATCATCATCGTATTGTGTTTTATTCCATTCTTTTAATATTTGAATAAATATCAGCTGCTTTTATATATTGATATCCACGTAAAACTTCTGGTGCCATATAAGGTAATACTCCATAAACTCCTTCTTCTTTTTTATCTGATTTCCCTCTTTATTATTTGCTGGTTGACACATTCCTAAATCACTTATATACATACCCCCACCTTCCAATATATTGCCTGAATGAAAGTCTTTATGGACTTTTTCAGCATTGTGGATATTTAACAGTCCATTTGCAATTCTTGATAATCTATGAAGTTTTATATTATCATTAGAATTATTTAAATAGAAATTTCTTAAATTTCCATTTTCACAATAATATGAAACCATCATATAATCTTTGGTATTTGGATCTTGAGTTATTCCATAGCAGAAAACAATACTCCAAATATAAATCTGAAGATAAGATTTGATCTAATAATTAAATTTAAAAAAAAAAAAAAATTTAATTTATAATGTCAATTTAAACATAACAATGATAAATTAATTTTTTTTATTTAGTTACCTCATTTAAAAAATCTGTACTAATTTCGGAAGAATTATCCAAGCTTTTTAATGCAACTTTTCGACTTGTGGATCGGATCCATTTTTGATTTTCAATGTCCCAATACCAAATATTTCCTTCAGGCCATTCAGCTGAATAAATTTTACCAAAGCCTCCTCTGGTAATATAAGTGACATTTTGAAATTTCTCATAAGGTATCCATTCAAGACTTGTTCGAGAATGTACAGCATTAAGTTGCGAATGTTGTATTAATTCATCAATATCTTTATTTCCACTAGTCCAATTTATAAAATTTTCCTTAAAAGTCTTTTTGCATTACAATTTTGACACCAAAATTCTCCTCACTACATTCCCACATATACCATATACTTCTTTTCTTTTTTCTATATCGTCCATATAAATTACTCTATAATCAATCTCTCCTGATTTAATGGCAGAATTAATAGAAGAAACAGTAACATGAGTCTAAATAAATGATTAAAAATATATTTTATTTATTATTTAAATCATATTATCTATAATAAATTATAAAGTGAAATTTCATTTACTTGGTATTCATCATCAAATTTAACTGTTTTCCATAAATTTCTTGGCTTTTCTTTGGATGTTTTATTCAAAGTTTCCATACTATTATTTCTTAGCTTTTTTTTGAATATATTTTTGATGATTCTATACTCATCAATTAATACAATATAAATGTGATAACTACAGTAATTTTAGTTATATGTGTAATATTGTTATTTACTTTATAATAAATGAAAATTATCAAAACAAATTTGGTGAACGAAAAGTTATTTAGATCAGAGCTAAATATATACAAAAATATGTACAACCCGTATCATGCACATCTGAGGCTACAATCCATACCTTACCTAATCGAAACATTGTGAACCCATTTAAAATAAGAAATGGTTAATTATTTTTCATAGTGATACGATGTTTTTTACAAATTGAAGTATGTATGACAACTGGTATTACATAATTTTTTTAGAATAGTATAATAGTATTCTATATTGAAAAATTAATGTGTATCAAGCTGTCTTCCAGTTTAAAAAATTTTTTATTTAACAGTTAAACAACTAATTTAGGAAAATAAATAAATAAAATAATTAACATCGCCGGATTATTGTAGAATGCGAATGCAATTGTTATTGCTATTTTACGAAAAAAGTTTACGAATTTTTTTTTTTAAAAAAAAAGAGACCGAAAAATTTGAAAAACAATTTATTTAGATGTTTTGTAAAGAAAGAAATTTTACATTTAATACTTTAATTTAGAAAAACCTTATAAAAAATTTTTATCTCCATGGCTTCCATGGCTTTCGTGAAAATGATACATTCCCGGAAAAAACATGGGGATCAACATTTTTTACGGGGAAAATAATAAAACATAAAAAACTTTTGCATATTTTTAATTTAACCTCAAAAAAATTTGAATGGAAAAAATCATGCTGTTACTGATCGTGACCTGCCAAAGAAAATTATTACCAAAGTTTTTTAGATGTATTTCATTAATACGGTACGAAATCATCTACACTAGGAAACGGGAACCGTTGTAAGTCCGGAGCGAAAAACTAAAATTTGCGATTTTATTGAGTGACGATCACGTGGCGGACAGAGAAATTCACGTGATCGATTTTTTTTTCATAGTGCGTAGACATACATTGTCCTTTGTTATATCAACACTTCGTAGTTTATATTGTTATTGTTGAATCTTAGTAATCGCAAAGTTTAAATAAACAGTAAAATTTAGAAATTTTTATGTTAATGACATTTATTATTCTGCGGAGCACATACTTTGCACAAACCATTTTTCACCATATCTGACAGTAAGTACTAGTAGGCTACGCAAAACTCTGATCGATCATTACGTGTTAGCCTGTTAACGACTTGGAATGATGACAATAGAATAAAATAGTGTTTCACACATTATTAAATTATTTAAAAAAATTAAATCGCTTGTAAAATTCTCTTCCTTAAAATCAAAATTATCGAAGTGAGAAAGTTGTGAATCATATGAGAAATGTAAAAAACCTTACATGGGATTCTGAATAATATAATTTCAATTCATTAACTGTAAATTCTTTTCTTCTCTTAATTAATAGTTTTGTATCATCCGTTCGTTCTCATAATTATAAAGGATTTTATAAGGTTTTTAAGTGTAGTAAGACACTATTTTACCGGCAAATGTTACGCAGTATGGATGGATCAAATTTGTTGAGTATTTAGGATTTAGTATTGATTTTAATTGACCAAAACACGTTGATCGATGATTTGTTCGAGTAAAACTCAGCAAAATTCGATCAATGATTAATCAACTCGTAGTCGATCGAGGTACTTTTATTTAAAATTTTTAAAATTATTAGAATTTTATATTTTTTAGCAAAAGAAGCTTGTTAACTGTTTCCTTTTTTTCTATATATGTATAATTTTTTTTATAATTGAAACATTTTATATTAATTTATTTATTATAGAATAACAAAACCTGGTGGATATGGAAGCATATAGTACATTAGACCAATTTTAAGTAAAATATATGAAAAATAGTACCTTTTCGCAAACTGGAAGAACTTAAAGATCTAATGAATAATAAATATAATCACAAAACTGCAGAACTTAAAAGACCTAAAGTAAGAAACAAGAGGCAAGAAGTGAATCAAAAACAAAAGAATAAGAAGGAAATGTATCTTTGACCACGGAACTGAAGGGCTGAAAACCCTAAAAGAAGGAAAGAAGTTAGTGACGACAAGCAAAAATGAAACAAAAAAAAAGAAAAAAGAAGGAAACGTACCTTTTGCTGCAGAACCGAAGAACCTAAAACTAAAAAGAAAAAAAAAGAAAATTAAAAGCGAATTGTTAAAAATATAAAAATAGAAATAAAAACAAGAAAACATACCCGCTTTTACTAAGGAAAAAATTTTTCAAATGAAAAAGGTACTTTATTCTACGACTTATTTACTCTTGTTTGATAATCTCATCAGACGTTATGATGACACGATATGACAAATAAAAATTCTCACACGACTGATCGATTTTCCATGTTAATGTCCTACGCTTCGCTCTCTAATAAAGAATGAAAAGTTTTAAATGCAGCAAAACATGTTTGATGGACTGATCTAAACTCGGTTAGGATAATTGGATAAATGATATTACATATTTTTTCACATGATATGAAACAAGCTTAATCATTTTGATTAAAATAAGAAACAGTCAGGAGGATATAAAGATGTTGAATTAACTGAAAACAATATAATTCAATTTTCAAGAAGATCTTTTTGGATATAACGTTTGAATTATATGTGTTTGCTACATTTTTTAGGTGCGTTTAAGATTCATGGCTATTTTTATTATAAAATTCGTACACAAATTCTGATAAGGTGGATTAGGATTTCAAAACTGTCAGCGAAATGGCTGTAAAATGATTCTGTCAGTGAAATGGTTGTCAGTGAAAACCATTATTACGTATAAAAAAAGTAAATTTTAAAATAATTTTTATTTAACAATTAAATAAAATCTTAGTCGTATTCCGGTTTGTAGTATATATTTACCTTAAGATTCTTGAAACTAGTGGTATTATATTGCAAAATTTGTTTTAAAATTTTAGAATAATTCCAATTTGTATTAATATTCATGCTATATGCTTTTTACCTTTATCATTATTGTAAGCCATTAGCATATAATTATATCAAAAATTTTAATAGTGTAAAATCTCGTTCCTCTATCAAACGTCTTTATTAATTTAAGGGCAATAATATATTAAATTATGGCATGTTGATCACAAGCGACAAGTACTGCATGTCACGCACGACAAATATATTAATAAAAAAAAGAACCAATTACCATTTTTTTAGGTGCTGTGAATGCATTTGCAGTTGATATTTTTCACAATAAAAAATACGTGATTCAAAAAAAAAAAAATCTAAAAAATTTAATTATATGGCTGGTTTTATGAAATAAAAGATTTTAAGATTTTTGATGAATTCAACTTATATAGTACAAAGAAATTAAAATAGACGTTAACTAATTTTAAGTTTTCTAAAATGTCTAAGATTTTCTATTGTAATTTTTAATAATATATAAATACTATGATATTGGAATTACGTTCATAAATTATTATCTGTCTATGACCTTTTTTAATGCAAAACCCTCAACAAATCTCCAATTCTCACTAAAAAAATAAATATATAAAATCATGGTACTATATATTTATTCAAAAAAAACCAAAAACCATGCATCAATTTAAATCATCAATTATATTATTTTCATCTTGCTCAATTTCAATGAGATCTATTTTAATTAAATAGATAAAATTATAAGAAAATATTAATCATAGTCAAAAATAATAAAAAAAAAATTCTTTACCTAATTCACTTAATTGAACATCCAAACATTCTGATACTATGATACAAATAATAATTATGGCATTAATAAAACACGAAACTATAACAGACAATACTATGATTAATGATTATACTAACTTGGATTTGCTGATACTGATGGAGTAGCATCTAATAATATCATTTAAAAAATTAATCACTAAAATTTTCTGTTTTTATTTTTAAATTAAAATAAAATACTACCTGAATATAATTGAGATGAAGGTTCTGGAAGTTGTCTGAAATTTAAAAGTCTACTAGTATAAATTGCTTGAGAGTGAGATTTAACATTTTCAGACTTCTTATTACTTGATCCGCTTTCCAATTTGTTTTTATTAATTTTATCGTATTCTTTCAATTGAGAATAAATTTCACTATTACGTTTCTTTTTTTCTTCATTCCATTTTATTAATATTTCATACAATTCTTTAGTAGTTGGTCTATTTTCTGCTGTTGCGTCCCAACATTTCATAATTAAATCTGCAAGTAATTTTGGAGTACCTTCAAAAATTTTTGGCCTAAGTCCTTTACATATTTGTATAGCTAAATATTCATCGTGAGGAATACCATTAAAAGGAATTTCTTCAGAAAAATACTCATTCATAATTATTGCAAATGAGTAAATATCTGCAGCTTTTGTATATTGATATCCACGCAAAACTTCTGGTGCCATATAAGGTAATACTCCACAAACTTCTTTTTTGTCTGATTTTCCATTATTATTATATGCTGATTGACACATTCCTAAATCACTTATATATATAGCACGATCATATAATAATAAATTACCCGAATGGAAGTCTTTATGTACTTTACCAGCATTATGGATATCTAACAATCCATTTGCAATTCTAAATAAATCATAAATTTTTTTAATACCTTCTTTATGGTTATTTAAATAGTAATTTCTCAAACTTCCATCTTCACAATATGGTAAAACCATCATATAATCTTTAGTGTTTGGATCTTGAGTTATTCCATAACATTGAAGAATACCCCAAAAATAAATCTGAATATGAGATTTAATCTAACAACAAAAAATTTTTTTTTTTTTCAAAAAAAAATTATTTAATGAATATTAAAATGACGAATAAATTAATTTTTAGTTACCTCATTTAAAAATTCTTTACTAATTCCAGAAGAATTATCCAAACTTTTTAATACAACCTTAGTACTTGTACCTCTTTGCCATTTTTGATTTTCAATATCCCAGCCGGTAATATACCCTTCAGGCCTTTCGGCTAAATAAATTTTACCAAATCCGCCTCTGGTAAAATAAGTAACATTTTGAAAATTTTCAAAAGGTATCCACTCAAGAAATTTTGTATAATATACAGCATTAAGTTGTGAATATTGTATTAAATCATCGATATCTTTATTTCCACTGGTCCAATTTTTAAAATTTTCTTCAAACCTTTTAGCATTACATGCTTGACACCATTTTTTTCCTGTGCCAGGTTCATTACATTCTCCACATATACCGTATGCTTTTTTTCTTTTTTCTAAATCTTCTATATAAACTATTCTACCATCTATCTCTTCTGGTTTAGTAGAAGAAATCGTAACATGCCACTTTTAAATAATGAGGAAAATGTTATTATTTGAATTATGTTATTATTATAAACGATAAGGTAAATGCATTTACCTGATAGCCTTTGGCATTTTCCCACTTTTCTTTGGATGGTTTATTTAATATTTCCATAGTCAAAATGTATTGTTTAATTGGACGGATAGTTGAAATTTTTTTTGACCGTTGATATGAGAATGCACAAATTTATACTTTTTATATTTTTTATAAATAAATATAATGTTTATATGAATTTATACTTTTTATACTTTTTAATAAATGTATTGTTTATATGAGAACGCACAAATTTATACTTTATCTGTTATATAAATAATAAATAATCCCTTAAAAAGGTAAGAATTTTCGGTCTTTTAGTCATCCCGGCATCCCGCCCCGATTCTAAAAATAGATTTTATTTGTCACCACCATCCGGTTTTTTTTTTCGTTAGTCAAAATCCTATTTGTCACATGGTATGTGACGGTCACGTGCTGTGACGTGTTGTGACGTGTTAAATTAGTAAAATCTATTTTTAGAAGTCTTAAATACGGACCTTTCCTTTTTGGATAATGCCAGCTGACATTATGTAATTCTGGCCCTGAAAGTTGCGTAAGAAAAATAAATTGGTAAATGATGTAATGATGCATAAGGTTTGTCCAATCGTAAGTGTGCACCAATCTCACCCCTAATTCGCAGTGACTGATTGATTATATTTTCGTACTATTGATTATTATATATTATGCACAGTATATTTGTTGTATTATTTTAGTTATAGATTTATTTACAAATACTGTTAGTCATGATTAGGTAATTTTATTGATATAGAAATTGTCGGAGTTAACTTGTTTTCCTAAAATGTTTAACGCTTAAATGATAAACAAAAGCAATTTATTTAAGTTTTATCAATAATTCCGCCAATGTTTATTTGGACTAGCTAGCCCAAGATTTTATCGTTTAAGTGTCAACACAAAGATCTTAGAATAAAAAATTATGATAATAATATATTTAATCGATGAATGAGATAAATGAATGTTAATATTAAAAAATTAATAATTTTAAAAAATAATAAGTTAAAACCTTAAAGCACCAATTAAAATTTATCATTCAATATTGTTTTACCTTGCTTAATTAATTTCATTAAGATCAATTGATTAGATGTAGGGATACAACTTTATGGTTACGTCAACTTTTTTAGCGTCAACGTCAGTGGCGTCACATGACTTTTGCCGTAGACTTGGTGAGATGCCTTAGACTTGTAAACTTTTGACATGAAATACTTATAATTATAGGTTTGGTACACATGCGCTTGTGTATTTATTATCATATCGATAAGAAAACAGAATGTCAGCTAACATCTCTTATTAGAAGCAAATGATAAGAATACAGTATAATAGGACCCAGAAATATATATATAGGGGTCAGGTGATGAAAAAAATTTTTTACTATGAGCTGTACGCATTTTTTCAGGGCCGGAATTATGATAATGTCAGTCGGTTACTATAATAGGAAATAATATTCTGACTGAAATTATCAAAAATTATCTAAAAAAGGAAAGATTTTCATGATTTTTTTTAGTTCAAAATACGCAAACTCAAACCTGACTCTTTTATATATATTTCTGGGTCCTAGTATAATGCATAAAAAGTAAATAATAATTTTAAAACTTATTAAAGAATATATATATTTTGATAAGGAAAAGTTCACCCTTAATTAGATTTACAATAAAAACATTGCGGACTTTGAAACTCTAGTATTTTTCTTAGTATGTCAATAAAGGTTTTGAATGTCAGTTTTGATGTTTTTACATTTTTTATTTTTTATGCAATTATTAGTAGTTGGACTATTTCCTATTTTAGCATCTCAACATTTCATAATTAAATCTGCGGAATATCTTCAGAAAGTTTTGCTCTGAGTCCTTTACATATTTTAAACAGCCAAAATATAATCATAAAGAATATCATTAAAAGGAATGTCTTCGAAAAAGTACTCATTCCTAGTATCTCCTATTCCAGGAGTATCAATCAATCTTATACGTTTGTTTTCAGCTGCATAGAATACATAACTATTACATCCTTGAGTTGATGACATAACTATTCAAATATTTGCTGCTTTTGTATATTGATATCCACGTAAAACTTCTGTTGCCATATGAGGTAGTACTCAATAGACTTTCTCAGTTGTTGCGTGAGTTATTATTTCGTAACGGCCGTAACACCTCAAAATAAATTTGACGATTTTAATCTAAAATTAAATAGTATAAAATCAAAATAACAATTTAAATGCAACGTAAGATAATTTAAAAAATTAATTTGCCTAATTTAAAAAGTATTCATTCGAATTTTAAAAGTACGCAGCATCAAGTTATTAAATCATCGATATCTTTATTTCCATTTTGTTCAATTTTTAAAATTGTTCTTAAACCTTTTAGACGCCAATGACTTCCTGTGCCAGTTTTATTACGTTCTCCACGTATAACATATATTTTTTTTTTTCTTTTGCTAAGTCTTCTGTACAACCTATTTTATCATCTATCCTTTCCGATATTATATATTGTAACATACACCTTCTTAAATTAATAAATAAAACAATAATATATTATTATTGTTATAATCAATTTTAAAGTGAATTGAATTTGAGAATTTCGAACGATTTACGGATTTCGGATTTCGGAGTATTTATGTCCGAAGGCAAATCATGTTTGTCACTATACCTAATTTGAAAACTCATTATAAAATCAATTTTTGAATGGCACGCAGCGTCTAAAAAAAAAATCATTCGTTTATATTTAGTTTGTCGATTTTTTATATAACTTTTTTCCGATGCAAGAAAATATTATTTTTACTACGCATCAAAGTGGTAGTATTCAAATATATATACTGTATTTAACTTTAAGCGTTCCCGCATTATCGCGTGATATTTTCCCGGTGAATGTTTATTTCAAGTCTAACAAATAAACAAATGGTTATTGATTTTGTTAATATATGAAACACTGAGTCAAAATTACATTATACATTAAAGTAAGAGTATTTGAAGGGCATTATTTTTACCTTTACACTATATGCGGTACAGTATGCATATACAGTAAGAATTCAAAAAAATCGTATTGCATTTTTTTTAAATGAATGCCTATTAGCTCATCCTAAAATGATTTAGTGTTTAATGGATGAGTTTTAAACATTGCTTGCCATAAGAGATACAAATAATTTCATAAAATTTAAAAATCAGTTAATCCGGATTACTAATTATCATTTTTTTTTTGCGATAAAAAATTTTATATATTCTAATGAATCTTATATCTTTTTTTTTTTTTAGGAAAAGATTTATTGAATTTATTATAATCTCAATAATTAAAAACCGGATGATAATAATTTAAAAGAATGAATTTGATTAAACGTCTCTTATAATATTTTTTATATTCATGATGTTTGAAATTCGTTCATAACTTCGTTCCTTATTTTTATTTTTACGTTTTTGAGTTCGTTCTTTACTATTCCAATAATTTTTAATTTGTAATTCTGTTCTTCTACCTTGTTTTCTATTTAATGATAATTTCTTTGCTATTTCTGGCCACTTGTTGCGATATTTCTTATTATAACATGGGTTAGTTTGAAGATCATCAATCTCGCGTTTTTCATCGGCTGTTAGGTCTGATTTATCAACTATTGCGTTGACAAAACGAGTTTGAGTGTTAGTATAGTGTTTTCGCGTAATCAAAAAATAATTCAAGTAAGTTGTTTGTGAAAGCAAGATACAAACTAGTTTGATCCAAATGATTGACATATCTAGTATGTACGACGTTAACGGTAATAGAAAGTTTAGTAAAATTAAATAAAGGGGAAATAAAAATATTTTTTTGTATTTTCGAATGTAATCATTATAAAACTCACCGCTCACGAATACTTTTATAATTACGATTTAAATTACCTGCGATTATTTTCCACTTATCTACTTTATCAGAATGTTGTTCATATAATTCTATAAGTTGAGCATCCTCCTATATAAAATTTATTGAAAAATTAAAATCACGATTAATACCTTTTCTTCGTTCTCCATAAAAAAAAGTATCGAGTTAAAGTAATAAATACATCTACCTCGTTGGTATATGGTCCTGATTTAATAACGTCTCCTTCCGTTCTCGATCTCATTTTTTTGTGAGGTGGCATTTTACAATGAAGTTAAGGATAGTAATATGTATAATGAATAATAAATATTTTTTTTTTTTCCTACAGTATCATAATATATTTATTATATAAATGTTTTCTATGCGAATTTTTTTTTTTTTTTTAAAAAAAAAAAGAGAAAGACTTTTTCATGAAAGAAAACGGTTAGACCTTTTTAGTTATAATCCATAATATGAAAATGGTAGAAAAAAAGGATTTTAGTACGAAATAAAAATCAAACAAAAGTATTTTTATGAGGGAAACAAATATCTATTTTGTGATTTTCCAAAATGGGAAACTACACAAAGAAACCTAGTGATGAAAGGTTGTGTTACAGATTTCCTTTATTCTTTCATAATGTACGTTAATCAAAATGTACAGTTTTTTTTCAATCAAACACAAATACAGTTAAATCTGGACTCAGGTAAATATAGATATATAGATATAAATATAACGCCCGTTTTTTTATACAAGTTTAAGCAATGCATCATAAAAAGGAAAAGCGGAAAATTGTAAATTTGGTTTTTGTTTATCCGACATTTCCATATTTCCATTTTTACGTTGATTTTTTTGATAAGTTGATTAGGCGTTATTATGGCGTTATGTTTGATTAGGTTAAACTTTTCTTTCTCTTTCATAGGTTACTTTATTAAGAACTGTCGTGTAACATTTAGAAAGTCAGTTAAACTCCGGTATTTTTTTTTTTTTCGTATATAAAAAAAAATGTCTTTAAATAATAAGTTTTGAAATAAGACACTAGCAAAGATGAAGATTATACGTTAGAAAATAAGCCATTTGAAACCCTTTATAAACCAAATTTTTTTTATATTATTTAGATCATAATAATATATCTTATGATATATTATGACTACAATACTTTATAATGATCCTTCATACTCACAAGCCTTGTATGATGACTACTTAATAATTTAATTCTTGAGTATTACAGACCGATTTTTCCTCCATACATAAAAGTAGAAGAATATGTCAACAAAAATGAAAATAAAATTATCGATTTGAGTAAAATGAACGCAGGTAATGGTTTCATAATGTATCGAATATATTTCACTAATTATCTGAAAACAAGAAAATTAATAATACCTATGCAACTACTCTCTCCCTTCGCGGCCCTTTTGTGGAATAGTGAACCTGAAAATGTGAAAGGTTATTATAAAGATCTTTCGGGACAATTAAAAAAAATACATGTCACATCTGAAACAATCAGGTTATAACTTCACTATGAAACAGTTCTCAAAATTAGCAAGTTTTTGCTGGAGTAAACAGCCAATAACCGTGAAAAATTCGTATAGCGAAAAGGTGGGTCAAATAAAGACGGATCAGAGAAAGAAATTGCTGAACAAACAATTAGAACAATCGTTTTATTAACCATGATGATTAATATCAAGTGACTAGGAAATATAATATGTTAACGCGTTAGAGTTATATTGTTTAGATATTTGTATATTTATTTTGTTTATAATAATTTATTTTTGTATTGTGCTCATTTTTTATATTATACGTATTTCCAAAATCAAATGGCACGTGATTTATTAAGTCTTCTTGGATAGTAATGACGTATGCGATTATCAACCATCGTATATAATTACATCAAATGCACATTCCGTACATGCATGACTAAAAATAACTATTTTTTTTTTTAATTGTTTTGAATTGATTCAAAGAAAAATATGCGTCGGAATTACTTTTTATTTCAATTAAATAAATATTATAACCGCAAAAAAAAATTTTGACATTAGTAATATTTATTTGGTATTATTTGTTTGGTAATAAATATTTACAATATTTTGATGTATAAAATGCGGAAAAATTTTGTAAAAAAAAAAATTTTTTTTTTTTTTGCAGCTGTGTTTGTACCCCCGTAGTACCCGTAGTACCCGTACCCGTAGTATAAACAATATTATTATTATTATTATTATTTTATATATCAAGATTTGTTTTTTATTGGTTCCATCATGACACAAGAACAACGAAGGTTATACAGAAACTTAGTAATGTAAATTCTAAAAATCTCAGAATCTGGATTTTAATGAACGGTGAAAAAAAAAAAAAGTCGGAAATAATCTTATGGGTTTAAATTAAAAATCAAAGTGCATATGAATACCACAAATGAAACTTTTTGGATTGCAAATTCTATGTTATGATTTGTATCACTGTTTCACAACAAAGGTATGACTCTCCGTCTAGATCCGAATTCCGAAAAACCTCCGTAAACAAGCTGCGAGAAAAAAAAATTAGGAGTCACTTTGTCACTTAAAAGAATTCGAAAATTCGAAGGAAAAATCTTCTGATTTATCAAAAAAAAAAAATTACTATTATTTTATAAAATAGGAAAGTATAAGCAAAATATTTAAGCTAAGCCCAACGGAAAAAAAAGTATATAATCTGGCTAATGATTAAACAAATTTGAATATATATATATATATATAATTTGATTGATCGTCATGATGCGGATCGATCATCGAAAATATAGAATCTTTGAAGAAAAAAAAACCGACATTCGATTAGCTATTTTTCAATCAAGTGCTTTTTAAGCATACAAAGAAAACATATCGTTAAAGGAGTTTTTCCGAATTTTACGGTAGCCCTCGGAAAATACCGTAACTACTTAATTCACGTGGTATATGGCGCAACATCTATTGACAAACTCCGAGAGTCCGTACTCCGTGCGTATTATTGTTCTTTTATCTATAAAACAACTCTAAATACTTTATAACGAATTTCATTTTTCGAGGTAAATTTATTTTTTTGGATTATCGCCGTTTTCAAAATGATGTACGCAGTTAAATTTGAATAAAAAAAAAAGAAACCCGAAAACCGGACGAAAAACCGGACGAAATATGGACAAAAACCGAATGAAAACCGGGCGAATATTGGTATTCAAATATACAATCACAAATAAACTGCGTACACCATTTTGAAAATGGCGATAAATATACTTTTAAAAAATCGAAAAAGTTCATTAACAACAATTATTAAATCCAATTATAGTATGGAACAATTTAGTATGGAAGTCTCGAAAGAAACGTCCAAAGAAAAACCAAAAAATTCATGGAGATATGTTGATAGTAGTAAATATCAAGTAAAAAATTTTATTCTATTTTTATTTGTTATCGATTATTATTATAATATGTATTTAAAATAATAATGATATATATTTTTTTTCTTTATTTTTTTTTTAAAAAAAAGGTTCATGTCACAATTTCTCCTTCTATTGATCCAACTATTATATTAGAAGAAGAAATTACAAATAAAGGAGTAGTTTACATGGAAGATTTAGAAAAAAGAGAAGAAGTATATGGAATATGTGGAGAATGTAATGAACCTGGAACAGGGAAAAAATGGTGTCAATTTTGTAATTCAAAAAGACTTCAGGAAAATTTTGAAAATTGGACTAGTGAAAATAAAGAGATTGATGAATTATTACAATATTCACAGCTTAATGCTGTATATTACACAAAATGTCTTGAGTGGATACCTTTTGAAAATTTTCAAAATGTTACTTATGTAGACGAAGGAGGATTTGGTAAAATTTATGCGGCTGATTGGCATGATGGTTATATTGAATGTTGGTCTATTGAAAGTCAAAAATGGATAAGGTCTTCAAATAAACGTGTTGTATTAAAAAGTTTGAATCATTCTTTTGATATAAGTACTGAATTTTTAGATGAGGTAATTTAAAAAAAAATACCGTGATAATAATTTTATAATCGTAATATATATATATATATATAATCTAAAATTTTCACTTTTGTTACTAGATAAAGTCTCAACTTCATATTTATTTTGAGAATATTATTTCATATTATGGAATTACTCAAGATCCAAATACCAAAGATTATATGGTGGTTTTAGAATATTGTATGGATGGAAATTTGAGACATTATTATTTAAATCAGCAACCCGAATATAATTCAAAAATTTATGATTTATTGGCAATTGCGAAAGGTCTTATGAATATCCATGATGCTGATAAAGTTCATAAAAATTTTCATCCGGGCAATATATTGTTTAAAAATTATTATCCTTATATAAGTGATGTGGGAATTTGCCAACCAGCAAATAAAGAGCAATCAATTAAAGGACAAATTTATGGGGTTCTTCCTTATACGGCACCAGAAGTTCTACGTAACCATCAATATACAAAAGAATCGGATATTTTTTCATTTGGAGTCATAATGAACGAATTTATATCTGAAGAAATTCCATTTAGTGATATTCCTCACGATTATATTTTGGCCGAGAACATATGTAAAGGATTTAGACCAAAAATTTACAAAGGTACTCCAAAATTATTTGAAGATTTAATTGTAAAATGTTGGGATTCCAAAGCTGAAAATAGACCAACTATTAAAGAATTATATCAAATGTTAAAAGAATGGGACGATGAAAAATTGAATAATGATAGTGAAATTTTTTCTCAAGTAAAGGAATGGAAACAAATTAGAGAAAATGAATATAAAAGTGGATCAAATAAAAATAAGTCTAAAAATATTAGTATTCATTCTCAAGCATTTTATGTTAGTAAACTTTTAGATTTTCAAAATCTTTCAGAACCAATAAATTCTTCAGATTCAGGTAATGTTTAAATTTTATTTAAAATAATGTTTTTAAAATCATACTTCTATATAAATGAAAAAATAGTCAGAATGTCTGTAAGACACTTGCACAATTAATGTATTTATTATATATTAAGTTACTTAGCAATGATAACGAGATAGTGATTATTTAAAGTAAGTAATTATTGTTATTATTATTATGTTTTATTTAACGATATGCTATTGTTCAATTATATAGCTTCAGAAAATTTTGATCATTGAATTAAATGAATAAGGTAAAATCACGTTTTTCTTCCATCTAAAATTTCTTAATGACTATGAAAGTTTTATTGTGGAGTTAAAATCAATAACAAATTGTATCATTATCATAAAAAAGAAGGTTCGTATCTATTTTCTCATAAATCTCGAGAAAATTATTGGAAAGAAAGAGAAATAATATACACGATCATAAATGCTGCATCTGTTGTAGAAACTGATATCTAGCATATTGACATATATATATATATATATCTTTATTTTATTTCGTATATCTAGTATTATAATTTATTTGTATTTATATATTTATTTCATTCTTATATTTATTATATGTTATTTTTTTTTCTTTACAATAAATTAATTACATTTTTGTATTTCTTAGTCTACTAGTTCCAAATATTTATGTAACACTTAAACACGATACTATACTTGTATTTATTATTAAATATACTAATATTCCGATTATTTAATTTATAAAAGTGGGTTTTTTCATTATCTTATGATTATTGAGTGATTATAATTGCAGACGATTACAGGATGATTACAGGACAATATTGTCCAATTTTTGTCTGGTAATAATTTTTTTATTAGATGATCTATAGGGGGGTAGCACAATTTTGAAAAGTGTCTCCTTTTAACGTCTCATTTGCCCTAATAAAAAATTTTTCTGAGAAAAATTCCGACAAATGATCATTTTTTTTTAGTTTTCATTCCAAAAAAATTTCGATGTGATCAATTTTCTAAAATATTTTTTATAGGGTTGTCACGCCACCTTCAAATACAAGATAAATTTTTAAAAAAGAATACGTATATATAATAAGGGAGTCGGGTCGAGTTTTGAGGTGTATTCGAAATCGACCCGAGCGTAAAAGTAATGACCCGGATTCGACTTGATCCAATTATAGTCTGACTCGGATAACCCGGGTTCGACCCATCAGGTTGTATTTAAAATAAAAAAAATTTAACTTTTTAGTTAAAAATATAATAAAAAGATTCGGGTCGCCGGGTCAAAATAAAGGTATAACCCCGACGGGCCAGGACGAGTTCATGCGGGTTACGGGTCATCAAATCGTGCGACTCCAACCCGACCCCTAAATACCCTTTCGGAACACTATAAATATACAATAAATGCAAAGCAAAATAACTAGATTTTTTTAAAACTTGCAAATTTTTAAAATCATCAATCTTCATTCAAAAATAGAGAAACGGGATGTAGTTCACATAAATTCCTTAAATTATAAGTGGAACCTTATTTTGGATTATTACATGAACATGTCGTCAATTTTGAACTTTGGCAGCATATACCGTACGACCGTACGTCTAACTCCCCGAGTAATTTTACCTGCGGGTACTTGTGTTACACTAGATGTAAATCCGGTTAAAATTGGCTAATTTTACCAGAATTAAGAAATTAAAAAATTGGCAAATTACCGTGGTAAGTTATTTGATTCGCACAAAGTTCACATAACGACAGTGATCGTCGTCGACATGTGTGGGATGAAATGACCCAAAGGTATTAACCACAAAGTCCAACCGATTGGTAAAATCCAACAATATGTTTAACTTTTTATAAAAAGGAAATCTATAGTGCAGAACCTCTATACTCAACTACTTATGTATAATAACAATTGATTGATTATAAATTCCTAAAAAAAAATTTTTTTATATTAAATTAAAAAATTTAACCGATAATTTTTATAGATATGACCATTAGCTTTAAAAATTATCGGTTATTTTTTTTCTAAATTAAATTTTGGCTGAGTTTTAGCTGTTTAAAAATCTGTAATTTAAATATATTGATTAAATTTAGTTAAAATTGAGACTAGTTTAAATTTTTGTATTACAAGTTTTTTTAGCCATATTTAATGTACAGATTTTTTTTTTTTTAATATGCTAAGAAGAAAAAAAATTTTTAAAACTGCAAAAAAAGATTTAATAAATAAGGTTGTTTAAATATAGGTTAATTTAATGTTATAGATTATAATTATATACCATCAAGTGAATATTTAAAAGACAGTTCAGATGAATTTATAAATGAAAAAATTCAAAAACTAAGTAATTTTACTTTAATTTGATCAAAAAATACATATAATAAAATACAAATCTCATCATCATATACCTGATTCATCAGTTTATAATGAAATACAATAAATAAATATATTATATAAATTTTAATATCTAAAATTCTAATTTCTGATTGGTTAATATATGTATCACGTGATGCTTACATAATCTGAAAAATTGAGACTTTTTATTTTATTTTATAAATCAATTCCTTTTAATAAATAGAGTTTAATTTTTTTTATAAAATTAAAATCCAATCATAAAATCAAATTTTATTCAATTTTTTTTAAGTTCCTATTATAGAGGTTCTGCACC